GCTGGTGCCAATTTGAGAAGCTCCTGTTCCCAGTGGGGATTACTCAGAGGTTTTCTTGGTTATGTTTCTTATGTATAGGATTGTCCTTGCACATGCATGTACACACATATATAATACATATGCACATATAAGGTGCGCACACACACACACATACATGCACACAGACTTGCAGAAGATGGGTAGGTAGAACAGAGGTCCAGAGAGGGCGTTAATTGAAGAGACTGGAGACATGGGTTCCAGCCTTAGCTCTGACCATCTGTAACTACAGAAAAACCATACCCTCCCTTCAGCTTTGTGTCCTCTTTTGTGACATGATGGAATTAGATTAAATGTCTCCAGGCATCTTCTTTCTGTAATCTAGGTGCAGACATATTACAAAGACATGTGGGACAGGCACTGGGTTTTGAGGCTGGGTTTACAGTATTCAGTTCCTCTGGCTCTGGGGGCAGATAGAGTGTGTTTGAGTTCTGGTTCTGCTGCTGTCAGGCTGTGTGAACTCGGATAAGACCCTTCATCTCTCTCATCCATTAGCTCATCTTTTTATTTTTTTAAATGATCTTTTATTGATTATGCTATTACAGTTGTCCTGATTTCCCCCCTTCGGCTACTCCCTTTTCTATACTATACTTTACATCCCCAAGGCTATTATTTTTTTTTTTGAGATTTTTATTTATTTATTTTTAGAGAGAGGGGAAGGGAGGGATAAGGAGAGGGAGAGAAATATAGATGTGTGGTTACCTCTCACACATCTCCTACTGGGGACCTGGCCTGCAACCCAGGCATGTGCCCTAGACCGGGAATCGAACTGGTGACACTTTGGTTCTCAGGCTGACACTCAATCCACTGAGCCACACCAGCCAAGGTCCCATGGCTATTCTGTAACTACCTATTTGCACTGCTTAATCCCCTCACCTCTCACCCATTCTCCCACCCCCCATCTCTTTATCTTTAACCTTTGGCATTTTAATTATGATGTGTCTTGGGGTCGGCCTCTTTCTGTCCATCTTACTTGGGACTCTCTGTGCTTCCTGGACTTGCATGTCTATTTCCTTCACCAAATTAGGGAAGTTTTCTTTCATTATTTTTTAAATAGATTTCCAATATCTTGCTCTTTCTCTTCTGCTGGCTCCCCTATGAAGTGAATGTTGGATTGCTTAAAGTTGTCCCAGAGGCTGCTTACACTATCCTCATTTGTTTTGGATTCTCTTTTATTCTTGTTGCTCTGATTGGTTGTCTTTTCATTAGCTCATCTTTAGGGTAAGATTAATTAAATCTCATTGTGTCAGGATTAAGTGAAGTGATTTATGCAACAATGCTTATGAGGTAGAGATGACATGTTATTATTGGTCTTAGCTGTGTCCTTAATTCACTGGGTGATCTTGGGTAAACCAAATGAGGTTTTCTAGATCTCAGTTTCTTCCCCTGTAGACTGGAGTTTGGACAGGTAGATCTTCAAGACACCTTTCTTTATCATCTCCTGACACACACATAGCTCAGAGAGGGGGTACTATGCTGAACAGGACTATTTGGAGATGGCTCCCACAGGGGAGCCATCTGAGCCCATTTTGAAAAAACCTCAGCATTATGCTGCTCTTTAGGAAAAAAGTCTAACCTTTTGGATCCATGTCCCATTCTCTATCCCCCTTGCATTTTTTATTTATAACTATTTTTTTAAAAAAGATTTTATTTATTTATTTTTAGAGAGGTGGGGAAGAGAGGGGAAAAGAGAGAGAGAGAGAAACATCAATGTGCAGCTGCCTCTCATGCACCCCCTACTGGGGATCTGGCCTGCAACCCAGGCATGTGCCCTGACTGGGAATCGAACTGGTGACCCTTTTGTTCTCAGGTTGGCACTCAATCCACTGAGCTACACCAGTCAGGCCTATAACTCTTTTAAACTGGAAATTGCAGAAATGCTCCACATCATAAATCTGGAAACAACTTAAGTTCCCTCATTTGTGTTCTACTCATAGCCTTTCTATGATGTATATATCTGAAAAATATGTGCTAATAATCAGAAACATTCATCTTTGACCAAATTACAAAATTAAACTATTGATAAAAGCATTTCTAAAGATATAAAAGGCATAATTTGTTGAAAATAAATTATACATTTTAAAATATCAAAGTCTGGCCCTGGCTGGTGTGGCTCAGTGGATTGAATGCTGGCTTGTGAACCAAAGTGTTGCTGGTTAGATTCCCAGTCAAGGCACATGCCTGGGTTATGGACCAGGTCCCCAGTAGGGAGCGTGTGAGAGGCAATCTCACACTGATGTTCCTCTTCCTCTCCTTCTCCTTCCCTTCCCTAAAAACAAACAAACAAACAAATAAATAAAATCTTAAAAATATCAACATTTATTTAAACAAATTCCATCTATTCTTTTTCTTTCAATGTTTTATATGATTTTTCTCTATGATCAATGGGTCAGGAATATATTTAAAATATAAAACAAAAAGAAAATAATAAACACTCCAAGTTTATTTCATCCAGAGTCTATCATTGTTAATAATTTGGTATATATCTGTTTTAACATCTATCTGAATTATATTTTACATTGAGAACTTACTTTTTTTTACCTTGCTTTTATCACTTAATAATATATTGTGAACATATTTTCACATCAATAAATTAACTTTTAAAAATAAAAACTTTAGAATAGTTTTAAACTTACAGGAAAACTGTAAAGGTAGTAGTATACATTGTTCCCATGGACCCCACCTCCAGTTTCCTCTATTAGCAATATCTTAGATTAGTATGACACATTCATCACAATTACTGAATCAATATTAATATATTATTATTATTTAAGATCTATACTTTATTTAGATTTCTTTAATTTTTTAATCTTTTTTTAATCCTCACTCAAAGACATTTTTTTTCATTGCTTTTAGAGAGAAGGGAAGGGAAGGAGAAAGAGAAAGGGAGAAACATCAATGTGAGAGAGAAACATCAATCAGTTGCCTCCCAAACACCCCCCAACTGGGGATTGAACCCACAACCAAGGTATGTGTTCTGACTGGCAATGGAACCCACGACCTTTTGGTTTTCAGGATGACACCCAACCAACTGAGCCATACTGGCCAGGGAAAATTTCCTTAGTTTTTGCCTAGTATCCTTTTGTTTTCTTCTGAGGTACCACATTACATTTGGTTGTTGCGGAAGGTCCTTGTTTTGGATGACCTTGACAATTTTGAGGAATACTGGTCAGATATTTTGTAGCATGAACCTGTGCTAGAATTTGTCCAATGTTTTTCCTATGGTTAAACTGAGCTTAAGGGTTGCAGGAGGAAGGTCACAGAGATGATGCACCATTTTTATCACATTATACCAAAGGCTTACACTATCAACATGGTTTGACACTGTTGGTGTTCACTTTAATCGCCGATTGAGGTGGTGTCTGTCAGGTTGCTCCTCTGTTAAGTTACTCTTTTAACCCTTTTTTTCCCCAGAAAGTCATTATGTATAATCCACACTTATTGAGTGAGGAGTTATGTTTCCCCTCCTTGAAAGTGGACTATCTATATAAATTATTTGAAACTTTTAATAAATCAATTTGTGGGTGTGTGTGTGTGAGAGAGAGAGAGAGAGAGAGAGAGAGAGAGAGAGAGAGAATAACCCAAACAAACAAGAAGCTGCCTGAATTAGAAGGATCTCCAATAGAATATTAAACAGGAGGTGAACCTGTATCAAAGAAGGCTGCTTTCCTGGTTAAGTGATACACATAATTCAAAGGACCAGCACTTTATTTCTAGTTTTTATTCATTGAGCCATTAGTGCTCAAGTCATACACTCAGGTCACCTCTGTCATTCCCTGCTATTGGGTGTCATTTGCCCTAGCTGACATCTGGGTGAGCGTTTCCTGTTTCTAAAGTCTTCCTCAGCAGCTGGGGAGAAGGTTGAATCCCTGGACTGGGTTGGGAAGTTCTACCAAAAGACAGACCTGTTACTATTTCAGCAGTGTCTTTTCTTTGAGCATTAGCATGGTTTTTGTTTTTGTTTTTTTTTTACAAAAGGATTTGGAAAAAGTGAAACTAGCTCTCCCTAGTTTCCAGGAGAGAAGTAGCCTAGGGACTAATTCTGGGAGGGGGACATGGGCAGAGGGCAGGCTTTGGGCAGTGGGCTGAGCAGTTCAGCAATAGACGCTGGCCAGGGAGCTAGAACACTTAGTTTCTGATCCCATCTTCATGCAGGCCTTGCCTAAGGACCCTGCGTACATCCCAGACTATTCTGCATTGTGGCTGCCATTGTCTTTGGTGTGGGGCTCCAGAGGACAGGCCTGACAGCAGGGAATTCAGAGGGGCTTAGGCACTAGATGGGGCAGGAGGAAACTCTTTCCTTCTCCCTGGTTACCAGGCAAAACTCCTCTCTCCTTCTTCAGCTTCCCTGCCTACTTTTTCTCCCCTCTCCCCATCCTCTGCTCTAAGCCTTCGGCTCTTGTGGGGATTGAGCTTCTGTGACGTGATGCCAGGGAGGAGCATTCTGAGAGCCACAGGGACCCATCTACAGGTAAAAACCACATGTGCCTTCTCCCTATAGCCTTTGTTCTCAGGTCTTCTCTTTCTCTCTCTTGCTCTTGTTCACACTCCAGCTTTTCCTCTGCCTCATAGCAGATCCATTTTTCATTCCAGTCTCCTTCTGCCAGCTTTATTTATTCTGTCTGCTCACTCAGCTTTCTGCCTACATTCCCCACCTCTTTATCAAACAGAGCTGTTCTACCAGTTACACCTCTTTGCTTTTAGAACCCAGAACTTCAGTGAGTGGAACAAATGACCCCATGTTTTAAGATCCCAACCTCAAGGAATGTCTGTCATTTCCCACCAGCTTTCCTTGTTTACCTTCTTTCTGTCCTGACCAGTTTTTCTGGGAGAAAATTGCCAGCAGCCCAGGTGCTCACCCATCTGATTCCTGGTAACTGGGATGTTCTTGTGGACAATTCCACACATTTCCTCTGCAGCCAGAGCCCTCCCCTGGCTCCTTCTTCCAGTCCTTCCTACGGGGCATGGGGGATAGCAACCGCACAGCAGTAACTGAGTTTGTTTTGCTGGGGTTCTCAGGTTTTGGTTCCCTTCAGGGCTCTCTATTCTGGGGGGTGCTCTGTATCTACCTGGTCACCTTGCTGGGCAACTCCCTGATCATCCTCATAACGCTGGCGGACCCTGCCCTGCACTCGCCCATGTATTTCTTCCTTCGCCACTTCTCCATGGTGGAGATCCTCTACACCACAACCATCGTGCCCAGGATGCTGGCTGATCTCCTGTCCTCCTGCCCCACCATCCCACTTGCCAGCTGCTTCACCCAGCTCTACTTCTTTGCCCTCTTTGGCATCGCAGAATGCTGTCTGCTCACCGCCATGGCCTATGACCGCTATGCTGCCATCTGCCGGCCGCTGCATTATGGCACCCTGATGAACCGGGGCACGTGTGTCCACATGGTGGGGGCCTCGTACCTCATGGGTGTCATCGCTGGCACCACTCACTCCGTCTTTATCTTCACATTGCCCTTCCACAATGCCAACACAATCCACCACTTCCTGTGTGACATCCTGCCTGTGCTGAGGCTGGCTAGTGCAAGCACCTTCTGGGGTGAAGTGGGAAATCTTGGTGTCACAATAGCCTTTATCCTGACCCCCTTCTTACTGATCATTGCCTCCTATGCTTGTATCCTTGTCACCATCCTTGGGGTTGCGACATCCCAGGGACGTCGGAAAGTCTTCTCTACCTGTTCTTCCCACCTGTTTGTGGTCATGCTCTTTTTTGGGACTGGGACTGTTGCCTATATGAGGCCTTGGGCAGGCTCCTCTCAGGACGCGGACCAAATCCTCGCCCTCTTTTACACAGTGGTCACTCCCATGTTCAACCCTTTTGTTTATACTCTGAGGAACAAGGAGGTCACAGGGGCGATGAGGAGGCTTATGAAGAAATACTTTTGGAGTTCTTGACACCCTCCCCCCAACAAGGTCTTGGAGATAAGGGCCTGATTCTGGTATATTTTCAAGGAGGAGGGAGAAGCTGGGAACTGCAGTCCTCTGGGGTCTGGCCAGCTCTGTTGGGTGTGTGTGGGGTTCCTTAGCCTGCTCATCTTAAGGGCCCAACCCACTGACATGCTGCTCAGTGCTCTGCTCTGGGGCCTGTTCTTCTGGCCTTGACCTGACTTGTTTATAGGTACAGAGCTGGAGAAACATGCACCTGAGGGAAGGCTTAGGGAAAAAGGCAGCTGTGACCATCTTGTGTGATGACTGAGCAATTCCTGGTCTTTTCTGATGCTCAGAGTACCTTCCTGGGAACACCAGACTTCCTTGTTCTCCCAGACTCCTCATTACAAGCCTTTGTCTCTCATATCAGTTGCTTCTGGTATAATGAGAGCTCATTTACTCCAGGTATGAGGCCTGATTAGGGGACCAGGGTGGCAGGGAACGAACAGGGGCAGGGAGTGGTTGGCTTGGCTTTGGCAGTTTAGGTGTGTCCTGTTTGGTTCTGATTTAGGTCTGGAAGCGTCTGTCTAATGACTTTGTTCTTGACTTACAGCTTCTCTCCAGAAACCCCTGAAATGTTGATATTCTCTACTTAGATTCTTTCTCACATGCTGTCTGACTCACTCTTTGTTTCCTCCTCTGGTCATGCAGTAGAAATGCACATATACCTTTCTCCCCTGACTGTTCAGAAGGTCGGATCTGGCCCCTAGACTCCCAAGATAATGCTTTGTTTCTTGCCCATTGTTCACTATTTACTCTTGGAGACCACTTGAATTTGCTGACCAGAGGGATCTAGTCCCATTTTACTTTTCTTGGGAAGGCAGTTCTTGCTTGCTCATAAACTCTCCTTCAGCAATAAATCTCCGGAGGAGGTAAGACAAGCAGGGAAATCATTCTCAAGGTACAACAAGTGAGGACCTTTAAAACAGCATTGATTTTATTTTCCAGTTTACAAAACTAGCAGAGATTTTGCATCCAGAAGAGAAGAAAATAACTATTAACATTTTGGTGTTAATAATGTCCTTGGGAAATTATTGCAATCTGGTTTCCCTTTATGCAGTATATGTATGTATAAATGTTTTTAAGAACTGAAAATGGGATTATATTGTCTAAATTGTTCTTTAACCTGTATTTTCTACTTCATTAAGTTATATTCTGGCATTTTACCATATAAGTAGACTCGTAAAGCATGATTTTAAGATCCATATTGTATCCTACTATGTGAATGTACCATCACTTATTTATTTTTACATATTCTTTATTTTTAAATTTTTAACATGTAAGTATGGTTTTTATACAATACTATGCTGGTTATATGAATTTCAGGTGTACAATATAGTGCTATAACTTAAAGCAACCTCCTATTATTTAAATTAAAATTTGTTATAAATATTGCTGAGATAGATATCATTGCACTTATATTTTTGTATACTCATACTTTTCTGAGAACAAACTTCTAGGTTTTGAATTGTTGAGTCAAAACATATGCACAGTTTTAGAGCTTCAAGATATGTTGCCAAATTGCCCTCCAAAAGAATTTTTATTGTTTTACAGTCCAATTGAGTGCAGTCCAATTTCCAGAGCAAGGAAATGAACTAAAAGTCAGGAATGAGTTGTGGTTAGATGGCTAGGGGAAGTGAAGGATGGAGAAGTATGGATAGTTAACATTCTTATAATGCAGAAAAAGTCTGATGAAGGGGACATGAACTCACTTTCCTTTAGTCTACCAAGGACTGGCGAGATATATTTGGACTGAAAGTGTAATACGAGGCATCAAAGTGAGATCCAAGGAATGACTTGCTGATAGAACTGGTATCTGAACAAGGCAAGGGGAGAGGATTTTCCCTCCATTGTTCTGAGCTGGGAGAGGAGGCCAGAAGCAAACATGAGGAAATTTGATTAGCTCAGCTCTAGGTGGCTTCATGCTTCTCTTACCTGAGAGCACACACAGCTAGCTGTATAGCTGATGACCCAGACACTGTGGAGCAGAGATGAGCCAGATTTGTTGTCCTCTAAATTCCTGACCTGCAGAAATTACGAACATAATAAGAGTGATTTTTGTTTTATACCTTTAGATTTGGATGGTTTGTTATGGAGTAGCAGATAATTTCAGCACCTGAAATTATGAAGTTAATGAAGTTAATGAAGAGGAGTGAATCCTATTAACATGTTAGAAAAAGATTTAGATTTTTTGTTGATTAGACATAAAATACTGATATCAAAGAAGAAAAAAATTTAATATGCTACTACAATGAGAATATAAACCAGCTAATGAGTGAAGTCACTTCAAAGACTATTTAAGATAATTAATTGCACAGGAAAACTTGAAATGTTGTGAAAATACAGGTAATATATGAAAGAATCTTGATGAAAGTTTGATCAAATTTGACAACAATTCTAAAAACTTACATAAAATTACCAATAATGAGTCATGAAATTAAAAAATTTCTACACTATCAATTAAGAAACAACAAATTTCAATTAATTGTGCTAGAGGAAAAACACATAATTTTCTAATCTCTGTGTAGAAAGTGTATTACAAAATCATTGTCATATAAATATGAAGGCAATCAAAGAGTACACAGCAAAAAATGCAGGATAAAAAGAATTACAGAGGTAATCAGAAAGTTAATTAACAAAAATATAATATTTTTCTGGATTGTATGACATTTGCAGCATTTGCCAGTTAAAAAATTTCTTATTCTAGTAATTTATTTTATTTTTTAAAGGTTTTATTTATTTACTTTTAGAGAGAGGGGAAGAGAGGGAAAAAGAGAGGGAGAGAAACATCAATGTGCAAGAGATACATGGATTAGTTGCCTCTTGTTTGTTCCAGATTGGGGATTTGGCCCGCAACCCAGGCATGTGCCCTGACTGGGAATTGAACAGATGATTGCTTGGTTTGCAGGCTGGCTCAAACTGAGCCACACCAGCCAGGCCTCTTTTTTAAAAATTTGAAATAAACATTTGTACCTAATTTTATATTTGTACTTTTGTCATGCTTTTTAAATAGGGCCACCTCAAATTATATGTTTTAGATCTCATAAAATTGGGTTCCATTTCTGTAATTACCATATAGGATTTTTATGGGAATTATTTAAGATAATTATTGGTCAAGAGGTTAGTATCCTGTTACTATACTAATATAGTATGTACTCAAACAATATTAACCATTATTACTTTTTTTAACCAATGAATTAATCAGATGTATTCTTTTTTGGGGGAGCATTCTTGGTATATGATTCATATACTGTACAATTTACCTATTTAAAGTGTACAATATAAAGATTTTTGTATAAGTGAAGAGTCGTGTGACCATCACCACAGTCCATTTGAGAACATTTTAATCGGCCCAAAGAGGAATCCTGAACTCTCTAGCTGCCGTCCTTCCCCTCACCTATCTGCAGCCCCAGGCAGCCACTCACCTGCCTTCTGTTTCTGTTGATGGACCTGTTCTGGATATTTCAAATAAATGGAATCTTGTAATATATAATCAAATGAACTCTCCAAATGCACATCCATATTCACTGATTCATTAAACATGTATTTCCTGAGTTCCCACAATGAACCAGGCACCACACTAGGCACTGGGCCGACCGACACAATGTTGAAGAAGGCAGATCTGCTCTAACACCACTTTCTAATAGAGAGGACAGACAGGAACAAACCCCCCAAACCTAAATAAACACATAAAGAATTCCTGAGTTAAACTGTAGTAAAAACAGCATAGTATACAGGTACAGAAAACTGGTGGTGGGGAAGGTACTTTGATTGAATTGTGAAGTCATGAATAAACGTCTCTAAGCAGGTGACATTTATGCTGAACTTGAAGGAACCGGCCATATGGAGATGGCGAAGGCTGGTCTGTGGAGATGAGCAGCATTTGTAAAGGCTCTGATGTGGGAAAGAGCGTAGATTATTTGAGGAACTGAGGGTAGCCTGTTGTGACTAACAGAGCACAGAATAAATGTATTATGTGCAGATCATACCTAATTGAATCACCTAAAGATGAGCAGATTTATTGGCCTGGAGCCTTAGTTGCGAAGTTGTGGGACATCCTTTTGCAGAGAGCAGGACTCAGTTGTGAGGCATCTTCCATGCCTGACAGAGAGGCGTAGACTCCGTTCCACGGGTAGTGCGTAGTGTGGAGCGGTGCAGGGTTTTACAGGAGGGGAGTGATGTCAGGGAGGCGGTGTTTAAGGAACATGAATTTTTCTTTTGCCTTCAGTGGAGATTAGAGATGAACAGAATGGAATCACTCAAGAGGCAAACAAACATTCTCTTAACATGTACACTTTAGTCTTTTGTTAGAGAATTATTTAAGATCTGTCTCAGTATCTGTACCTAACACTGACCATTTGTGGAGTGACCTCAGTTTGCAAATGAAGAAACAGGTTTAGCAGGACTGGAAAGGAAAATTCTGCTTTTTGAGATTTTCATTTGTTGGAGCAAATGGCTATCTACTCTCTGTGCTCTTATGTCCTATGATAGGATTTTTTGTTGTTTTACTATTTTTTTACTTAAAAATTTAAAAAAGTCTTTTATTTTATTTTTATTTTTTATTCTTGTTCAAGTACGGTTGTCTCCATTCCCCACCCCCCCGCCTCCCCTACCCCCCCACCCCAACCTCCCACCCTCAATCCTATCCCCCTTTGGCTTTGTCCATGGATCCTTTATACATGTTCTTTAAAATATTTTTAAATTTTTATTCTATTATAGTTATCCCAATTTCCCCCTCCCCCTTTGCCTTTCTCTGCCTATCCAACCCCCCATTCCCACATTCAACCCCCACACCATTGTTCATGTCCATAGGTCATGTGTATAAGTTTTGGATACTCCATTTTCTATGTCGCACTTTACATCCCCATGGCTATTTGGTGATTACCTATTTGTACTTTTAATCCCCTCACCTCTTCACCCATCCTCCCATACCGCATTCCCATTTGACAACCATCAAAACATTCTCC